ATAAAAACATCACATTAAGAGTAAATACTTCAGAATTGATGGTGGATTTTGCTCAAAGTTAGTAAGAAACTTGCAACTATGTCTATATAGTTATATTTTTAATTCACTGGAAGATGCAAAGTAACTGAAGATATTGAAACAGAAACTTAGTATCAAGTATTAAGACCTTTCTTCATATTTTAAAACCTTTTTTTGGTAACTTCTAGGAGCAAAATTCATTGGAACATTTCCCATCCCGGACACCTATAACCCAGATGATGACAAAATCTATTTCTTTTTCCGAGAAATATCACAAGATAGTGGCACCTCTGACAAGACAATCCTTTCCCGAGTTGGGAGAGTTTGTAAGGTAAGGCCTCTATCTTTGTATTTTATTTTTTTTTTTAAAGAGAAAAAGAAATGAAAAAAAAAATTCTGGTTTGTTTCCTTGAGAAATCTGGTTTTCCCTTCAGATCAGAAGGAAATATTATTACCCAATGAGCCACTGTGGTAATTTTTCTGAACACAGATTACTAATGCTGTCTGAAGTTTACTCATCTGAAAAACAGACTTTCTATGGACTATGTACCACTTTTAGAAAAGCTAATATGCTTATAAATTATAATCCTGCATCTAAATTATAATGTATTGACCTTCAGATATGCAACAGTGACCTGGTTTGTTTCATAACTTTTCTAAGTGTACATAATGGCAAGTTATTTGGGGTTTTGTGGAAGGTGTCCACAGAATGGAGGGATGTACAAACATATCTGTTCAACCAAGCTCAGTACATAATTCCTGGGCATTACTGACAGCTGGTGTCAGTCATTTGTTTCTGCACATTTCTGATAACCAGTTGGAGTGAGGGGAGGCTAAAAAAGTGTATAGTTTCTGAGCTACACCTGCATCTGTCCGGAGGTTTCCTCCCCTGGGAAGAAGTGCGGTCCTTGACCTGTTGACCAGGAGGAACCAGACCCCAGGTCTGTTGCAGACTGAAAAACTTAATTTGGTTGGTGCCTGACTTCTTTTAAATAACTATACCCTTCACTTTCTCTTTCATTATGCTTGGTTTTGCCCCTCATGAAAGATTTCTGCACTTATGCTAATCATAGTGCAGACTCAGATTTTCATGAGCTATGCTTTTTTTGAAGAAGCATCACTGTCAAGGACAGAAGCCTCCTCAAATGGTAATGAGAAGATAAAACTAATATCTAGAAAGGAAGACAGCAGTCAACATGGAGTTTGCTGTTTAACAGCCTGCTGGTTTTGCTAATGTCTTCTTCCCACTAAAGCAGAAGGGTCTACTAAGTTCTGTGTCAATTAGTGTCTGTCCACTCCTTTGTCCCATAATGCTGTAGGAACAGAAGTAGTGTAGATGCTCCCATCCTGTCCTTAAGTCTTCAGTGAATCCAGATATCTAAGAATCACTGGCAAAAGTCAGGAAAACAGGACTTTAAAGTTGACATCATCTTAGTAAACATACTCTTGGAGTAAATGTTTATCTCATGATGAACTAGATATCAGTACCACCATCACAGCAGTCAAACAAGTAGATATATTTCTGTGATTTTTTGTTCAGATGTCTTCATTTACTTGCATTTTCTGAGCAATGTAGCTCTACTGGCTGTAAAAATTATCTTCTTAAGATGCTTGAGAATTAGTAAACAAACAAAAGAGTTTGTAATTTGCAGTAAGATTTATCTAGGAAAAAAGCACTCAAATTGCACACTGGACACACACTGAGAAACAAAAGAGTGGACACATGTATGAATATGGAACTTTACCACTGTTCTGCAGTCCAGCAAACTCCTAACAATAGAGATTTCAGTGACTGCAGCCATTTCACACTTCTGTCCTTGATTTATGAATGAATCCCTCATTCATAAATCAGTTCTCTAGTAGGTTTTTAGCCAGACGAAAGAATGGATAATCTTTAGTTGGCTATTTCACAGCGCTGTGATTAATGGCAGAATGGAAATGCAAACATATATGATTTGCTGCTAGACATGGCATTTGCTGATTATGGGAAAGCACTTAATGCATTAGGAGAAATTGGTAGGCAATATTTTCAAGCCAAGGCACATGAGAGATTATAGTAAACGAAGATATATTACCTAGAGATCTCCAGCATCCTTTACCTAGAGAAAAAAGCAGATAAGATATCAGAATAAAAACAAAAGTATTGTAAGAAAATCCTAATGACCATGCGTAATCGTACCTTAAATGAGACTGAATTTGTAAAGTAATCTTGTTAATGGGAAAAAGATATCTTTTATTTTATTTTTAATAGTCAAAATGAAACAATGGAAACTGATAGGCAAGGTGATTATTATTAATGTTGGTTTTGCACTGTCTATTTACTGAGCAATTCCCAATGGATGCAGAATTATCTTGAATGTTCAGACTCCTTTTTTTGTACATTTATCTTGATTACATACGCATAAAAAATATAATGGAAATTATTATAATGAAAATAGAATTATTATGGGTATTTAATATAAAATTAAAATATGCAGATAGACTCCTCTGTTTATGGACTAAGATTCTATGGATCTGTGCTCCGATATGAAGCATCTCTTATGCTTAATTCTCTCTGATATGGAGTCAATGTCTTTAGTTGTATCAGTTGATAACATAATCATCTCTTTTAACACTGTTTCATTAATGTGACCTGAACTGCGTAAAGTTAAGCCTTTGTCTACTTTTCCTATCAAACTGAGAATTATAGTGGATGGGAGGAGTCCTGCAAGTTTTGAAATAATTTTCTTGGTGTAAACACAATTTTTTTCTGCTGGAACTCAATTGCTTTCTACCTCACTGTGCCTTAGGGCCCCTTTACATTAGTGCCAGAGACACATGCTGAAATTAGAATGGGCTTTGTTTTAAATAAGGAGGTTAGTCAATGCAGCCTGTTCTTTGGCTAATTTTCAGTGGCTTAACAATGTGGTCTCTCACTGATCCTACCCCTTAGGGAAAGTCTTCTCTGGAAAGCGTTCCCTTTTCCCAGCTACTTTCAGACCCAGAAGATTACAATGCGCTAACTGGCAGCTCTTCGCCCAGAGTCAAACAGCTGTCACTTTTCCTGTTCATCAGTCCATACTTACTGTCTTGAAGCATGCATTATAATAACGCAGCCACTGTAGCACCAAATAGCACTAATTTAGATTTACGTCATCTGCATTCTGTGCATCACTAGGGGATATCACTATGAATTGGGAGGAAGTGCTTTCAACAGTCACTTTCAGACCCGGTTGTGTAATTTATCATGGCAAATGGCATTTCCTATTTTTGGCTTGAGGGAGGGAGACAGAAAAAGTATCATTGGCCTACCCATAATACCTGTTACTACTTATAGTATGTTCCTACTTAAATAAAGTGCAGTCTGCTGGGTTGTTTGCTTTCTTTGCAGGTGAGGTCATAAATAAAAAGAAAAAAATTACTATTGAAGATTAGCCAGCAATGTTTATTTGCTTTTTAAAACATATACAGATACATATATGCGTATTATATGATCATACAAAACAAATTATTAAGAGTAAGAAGACATCTGTTTCTAGAAACACAGGCATAAGCTTTTACAGCTACACTGTCTTCAAGCCCACACTGCTGGACTAGTTTGCATCAGCTCAAGCCATGGCACTGTCACTAGACACTGAGCCAGATTTTGAAAAAAAAATTGCAGCATCCATGCACTGTGCCCTTTGCAGTCAAATAACAAACCACGTACTTTTTTATTACATATCCACCACAAAATGATGGCAGAATTGTAATTCTCTTTAAGGACAACTTCACATATGCACAAATTTAGCCCTAGAAAAGACCTAGGTTTCCCTTTTATTTTCCCCATTCACATAAAATGAGAATTTAAATTCCTAACTTATAGGAGTCCATGGAAAAGTTTTGGAGTGGGATGGAGGTTGTTGGAGTTTTTGTTTGTTTGTTTTCTATAGAGAAACACATTTTTTCATAGCTCCAACCTCATTCTATTGGAATGGAGTGGAAATTAGCCAAAAGCAGTAGTCTCTGTAACAGTATGAAAATCCTGTTTATTATTACAGCGGTTTGCATGTGCTGTGTTACAAGCTTCTCTTTAATGGTATTGATGATGTATTGCAAAAGTCATGGCGTGCAGTCTTAAAGACTGATTTCTGAGACTTCAACTGCCAAGAAATCAGACTTTGGCCCTTGATGCTTTCCCGTGTTTCCCAAAGTGTTCAGTATCCAGAAGCGGCCTTTGTTCTAGTGGGAACAAGTGAGCTCTTTGTCTATTTTTTTGGTATGCTATTCCACCCTCATATATACCACGCTGTACCTGGGGACGAGAATATAGCAATTAGGCACAGCCTTCTTGGTTAAACTGTACTTTCTAAGCACACTGGAATGTAATCATTTTAAGAGCTCCTGAGTCGAGAGCCCAGGACACACCCTGCATTCCACCTTGGGGTAATGTGATTTATTTCCAAAGCCATGAACGTGAGCAGAGTTCAAGGCTGCGACCTTGCCTCTGGTCTGGTGCTTTAAGGCAATTTAGATTCCCAGAATGGCAGGAGGGAGCTATTCCTCCACAACTCTGTGCCCATGGTACAAAAGTTAGGAGGTGTTTTTCCTGTCCTGGAAATAGTCTAGCCATGCCTTTACTGTGGCTATGGATAACTGGGTCATTAAAATTCTTTGTATTTCTATATCATGTAATGCATCACTGTGTAGATAATTGATCTACCTCCAAAACCATTTGAGTTGTCCACATAGCATAATACTTTACCTTTCAGCCGTACTAGCTTGGGTCCCGGAAGCGAAATAGCCATGTTAACATGTTCTCAGCAGGGCTAATTAGTCTGGGCTGAGAGCCATACTCGTGCAGCTATCCTGCTTCCAGTTCTGGAGACAACTCATTCCAGATGAGATTTAACTTACTGCATGATACGTACTTTCTTTGTCACCATAATATTACCTAGCCACAGTGCTAACCAGGGTTAATATTTTGTTTCGTTTTGTTTTCTTCTTTTTTATAAAATTTGTTTACTCTGTGATAATTATTAAGACAATTTTTAAAATGTGATCCCTAGAAAAACTTTGGCGTTCATTTGCCCTTTGAGCATCCTTGCAGCAATGGGTCTTTCAGCAGCCAGTTCCTCTTGGACTTCCAAATTTGATATTTGAATATGTGTCATTTGAAAGTTTTCAAATTATGTAGAAAAGCAGATGCTCACCAAGATGATTTCATTTTAAGAGCTAATGTGTTGGAGATGGGCCAGTTCCATATAGTATCTGCTTCTAATTGTGATGAATTAAGAGATATAACATCAGGCTTTGTCAGGTCTTTTGGTCCAACTTTCCTTATTGGCAAGAGTACAGGCATGAGTATAGGAA